AGGAGGAGCAGGAGTGGCCTGCCTGGCTTACCTGCTTGGTGACCGAGTCAATGAGCCTCACATAGAGGTCCTGCTCCGTTCGAACACCTGCAGAAGGACAGAGTCAAGGGCTGGGGGTTCCTCTGGCATCCAAACCCATGCAGCTCCCCCCTCCCCCGCTCCCACCCAGCGCAGCCAGTCCATGCTACCAGAGACAAGGCTGGGCTGTTCTGAAGCAGAGAACTTCGTCCCCAGCTCCAACCCCAAGCCTCCCACCACCACCCCCTCCTGGCTCCGTCCTTCAGGGCTCCGGGCGGGCGCAGATACTCACCATTGCTGTACAGGAGCTGTAACTTGTAGTGGGTGCCATTGTTGGTCTTCTCATTCCCCTGCTCCTGAAACAAGACAATCATTCAACTGTTTTTCAGCAACGCCCCCTCCCCATGAAAAAAAGCAGAAGAGGGCTAGGAAGGTGGCTCAGTGGTAGAGCGCTTGCCTTGCATGCATAAGGCCCTGGGTTTGATTCCTCAGCACCACATAAAAGAAAAAAAGCTGGAAGTGGCACTGTGGCTCAAGTGGTAGAGCTCTAGCCTTGAGCTGAGGACAGCACCCAGGCCCAGAGTTCAGGCCCCACGACCTGACCCAAAAAAAAAAAAAGAAAGAAAGAAAAAGAAAAAAAAGTAGGAGACAGTACTGCCCTGTCACAGTGCCTCCCGGGCCACCTTGATTCACCCCAGTCCCAACACGGGTCAAAGGGCAGGATCTAATGCCCACCACTGGCCAGGGCCTGCCAGACCCCCAGCGCTCCTCCTGTCTCCCTTAAAAATGTCCTCTGGATAGGTACAGGGTTTGGAAAGATGGAGAGGGGGGGAATGTAGGAAGGGATGACTCTGATCAAGATGCATGACACCCATAATCTGACTTGTTGAATGGAAACCTTCTGGCACAACTACTGGGATTCTTAAAGATTGAAAGACACTCAGAAGTGCCTTCCCCTGGCCCTGAGAGACAGACAGACAGACAGACAGA